TGCCCACCGGCATCAGTCACTTGTCGGCCCGATTATTCCAAGTCACCCAAGCAGTTTTCCCGCGACCAAACAAGCCTTAGCAAGCATCGCTGCCCCTAAGCGGGTTGCCCGATCTAAACTCTCGGTGAAAGGAATCAACCGTCACGATCAAGSCAGAAAKAGATAAACAGACCGTCGGYAATCACCCCAACGAACAAGACTCGATGAATCTATGCACGAAAACGACCTAGACTTAGGCCCACGGTCACGCACTCACCTTAGTCACTTAGGTTCGATGATTGCTTGTCCCGTCTTAGTTCTGACACCTCTTGTCTCGATGATCCGCCACGTAGACACGATCGCCGATACGCCCAGACACGTTCGCCGTCACACCAACACGATCGCAGTCACCTTCGCTCGAGCCTTTCACGAATTCTCTCGAGCCTTTTCTCTCTTTCTSTGTAAAACTCTCTGAAAATCTTTCTAAGTCTTTTTCTGCGTAAAACTGAGGCAATGGGGTAGTTTTGCCTTGATAAACTGCCCCAAAACCGTCATATAACTGTTCCCACGCAAAACCGCGTCTAAGGCCCAGAATAACCGTTCCCGCGTGTTTTCATTAAAACAGCGTGTCTTTGGCTCGATAACCGTTCCCGCCAAAAGGCCTTAGAATGTTTCCAGCTCGATCCGCAGTCTACCGCAACTGCCTTGTCTGAAACAGATCGCGGTAACCGTTCTGTCAGAAACCGACCACGGTCCGAAAAATCCGCCCAGCTCAGAATTAACTGCCCAGCTCAGAATTAACTGCCCAGCTCAGTTTACTTCTACTTTCTCGGCCAAAACTGCCTATCGCGACTCGATCACTAGTCCGCGGCGGCCAACCCACGGAACACGGGTGTTACACAAACCCTCTGAATGAACTAGCTAGTCCTAAGCAAAAAGAGGGAAATTTCCGAGTAACCTAAGAAATATAATCAGATCTATCAAAATGAGTCTACTCAACTCAATTTTTTTATATCATTTTTTTCGAATGAATGAATGTAAAATCTATTCTTCAATCAAAATGCCTTTTTACAATAAATGTTTTCAGATAAGATTTAACCAAAACAAAAAGAATTAGATTG